CTATCAGTGTGTCTCAGTTGTATTGTCCCCTGTCTGCTTCAGTTTCAGTCCTATCAGTGTGTCTCAGTTGTATTGTCCCCTGTCTCTGCTTCAGTTTCAGTCCCACCTGTGTACTGGATGCGTCCGGTGAGGTGTCATGTGACCAGTGCCAGCATGGATACACCGGGTCAAACTGTGAGAGGTGCGGACCACAGCTGCGCTGATTACCACATCGACCAGAAACGCATCATCTTAACTTCCCTGCGCTTGTCTCCAGGTGTGCCAGTGGTTTCTATGGTAACCCCCAGGTAGTGGGCGGGGCTTGTGTGAGCTGCGAGTGTAACGGCAATGCTAACGTCAGTGAGGACGGATACTGTGATTCTGTGACGGGGGAATGTCTGCGGTGCCTCGGCAACACGGCAGGAAAACACTGCGAGCTGTGTCGTCCTGGTTACTATGGCGACGCCGTCCTCGCCAAAGATTGTAAAGGTGAGTTTACAGCATTGAACCAAGAGAGAATTAGCTTTGAAATTGTTGCAGTAATTTCTTCTGCAAGAAGGTTTTTTAGTTTGGCTGGAACACCTGAATCTGAGGCCGTTTCTCAATCTACGAGAACGGATAAAGTCCCCGGATGTTGTTCTGGCCCCTCCCTCTTTACCCAGCATGCATCAGAGCAGACTTGTCTGTCCTCCAGACTGACAGCTGTCCCAGCATGCACTGCTGCAGCAGCAGCTTCCAGGTTAGCGCTCACAGAGCTCAGAGGATTAAGTTAAAGGTTCTCTTTTCTGTTGCTGTTGTTCAATAAAAGGAAGTTTTAAGATCATTTGGCAAGAAAATTACATTTTAATTTTCACTTTATGGAACATTTACTGATTTAGTGCAGATTTAAAAATAATATTCCAAAGTTGAGAGGACCACAGCAACCAGCGGAGTTCCAAGGGTAACAGCAGCCAGGGCTAACATTAGCCTGTCTGCAGCGGCCAGGGCTAACGTTAGCCCGTCTGTAGCAGCCAGGGCTAACGTTAGCCCGTCTGCAGCAGCCCTCTCCCTGCATAGCCGTGTGTGAAGGACCGCTGGCTCTGATGGAGGTTTGATTGTTTTATTTGGTAAAATGTTCATCTGATTTGTGTTTATCTGACTGTGTTCATTATTATTCCTCCACTAAATGAAAAAAGTCATAATTTATTATTATCTAGAGACTATTAATAACAGGAGGTGAAATGCGGCTCCAGACTAGCTTTGAATGTGGTGATGTCATCAGTACGCTTCTTCACGTTCTCCCAGAGTCCAGACTTTACTGGGTTCTATTCAAGAACGGACTTGGCGAGAACACGAGTCCGTATTCACGTCCTAGTAAAGTGAGAAACGGCCTAAGTGTGCCAGTGGTTGCTATGACGACACGGAGGGTGAGGCGGTCAAATCCAGAAACGGATAAAATGGTGTTTAAATGAAATCTTTGGATCTTTTAAACGTGGTGAGATTTGGACTGAACCAGAACCAGAACCAGAACAGGGTTTCCTTCCTCACAGGTCGACCTGCTCTGCTGACAGCAGCAGCTACTGATTCCCTGCAGGAATGTTGATCTCCTGAAATCTGATTATCTCTGACCTCTGACTTCCTTCTGCTGAGGACACTGTGGCGCCATCTGGTGGTGAAGTACAGATACTGCAGGCCACCAGAGAAAATCCCCCAGAGTAAAACGAGCCCGGTTCATCCAGGGGGACCAGAAACTATCAGTTCATTTTAGGTGGGAGGAGTCATAGAATGATGTCACTGACAGTGGGTGGGTTTTCTTCTTACAGACTGCGGCTGTGATGTAAACGGCTCCCTCTCTGGTGTATGTGACATCACAACAGGCCAGTGTCAGTGCAGAGAGAACGTGACAGGACGCACCTGTGACCGTTGCAAGGTAACACATGTCTTACATGATTTATGGGGACATTTCAATGACTGACATCCATTCTATAGGTCTTAATCTTAATTTATGTCCGTTTTCAGTCGGGGTTCTTCGGGCTTCAAAGTGGGCGGGGCTGTCAGCCCTGCGGCTGCAGCCAATCAGGATCTGAGTCTGAGTCATGTGACGAGGACGGCCAGTGCCACTGCAAAAAGGGCGTAGCTGGGATCAAGTGTGATCGCTGTGGCCATGGTTACTATGGCTACCGCGGCACCAACTGCACAGGTAAAAGGCGTGACGGTCTGTCTGTGAAGCTCTGCCGTCGCCAACAGTCTAATGAGCCTGTTTCTGATTTCCCAGAATGCATCTGTGAGCGCACTAGGGGAAACTGCGACCCTGACAGCGGAGAGTGTGTCTGCCCCCCCAACACAGAGGGAGACACCTGCGACAGGTGTAAGAAGGGATTCTGGGGCATTGACCACGTCACAGGATGCAAGGTACCCGCAGACGCCACGCCATCCCCCGCCCCCGCCCCAGTCCGCCGTCAGCCCATAACCACCAGTGTCTCTACAGCCCTGCAGCTGCAGCCCAGCAGGAAGCTCCGCCCCCCAGTGTGACCTGCTGACTGGGCAGTGTCCCTGCAGGGACGGATTCTCTGGAAGGTCATGTGATCGATGCGCATTTGGTCACTACGGTTACCCATCATGCTCAGCGTGCAGCTGTGATTTGGCAGGAACCCATGAGACGTTCTGCAACAGAACGCTCGGCGTATGTGAATGTGGACGGACCGGAGAGTGTGGGTGCAAGGTAGGAACCAGAACCAGAACCAGAACCAGAACCAGGAGGAACCAAGTTTAACGTCTGCCGGGTGCAGAGGATGATGCTGCAGAGGATGATGCTGATGATGCTGATGATGATGATGATGAAAGGTGTCCTTTGATCTTTGCTCAGCCTGGCGTGTCGGGTCGGCGCTGTGAGGAGTGCGTTTCTGGTTGGTTCGCTCTATCAGACCAGAATCCAAACGGATGTTCTGAGTGTTTCTGTTCTGGACTGAGCCGAGACTGTGAGGAGCAGGGAGGACTGCGCCGAGTGTCTGTAAGAACTACAGCAATACTACAGCAATACTACAGCAATACTACAGCAATACTACAGCAATACTACAGGAATACTACAGCAATACTACAGCAATACTACAGCAATACTACAGCAATACTACAGGAATACTACAGCAATACTACAGGAATACTACAGCAATACTACAGCAATACTACCTCACCACTACAGCAATACTACAGCAATACTACAGGAATACTACAGCAATACTACAGCAATACTACAGCAATACTACAGGAATACTACAGCAATACTACAGCAATACTAC